CTTTTTTTCTGCCCATTTGCGTCCTTGAGGTTGCTACTCTCTAGGAACATCAGGAACCGATCAATGTACGATTCCCAGTCCTCAGTAGCTTGGTTAAAGGGTGCGGGCGGTGCGAGGCTGGCCATCACGTCGGTCTTGTTCCCTCAGGACCACGTGCTCGGTGGGGATCAGTTGCGGGATCCCACCCTCGTCGCCAGTGTTAAGTCCGTCGCAGGGAAAAAGACTCGGGAGCCAGTGACTTGGTTCAGCTCTTTATTAAGTCCCGAGATTGGCTCGGGCTACAGAAGAAAAGCAGTGGCTTTTATTCTTTGGCTGAGGCGGCCGCGGCCAATGACACCGCTTTGAATCTCCCGCGATTAGTATCCACCAATCGTGGGGGATTCTTGGCGGCCAATCAGTGCGGCTAGCTCAGCCAATCAGGTTGCCGTGCGTTCCGACCAATCACAGAGCGGCGCTTCCAAGTATGCAAATGGCTTGTACAGAACAGCTGCCTATCTCAGCTTTGATTCTGGGGAGTAGTGGTGGATTCAGCTGGTTCTCACCAGTTCAGTAGAACCAATAGCTAACTTTTTGTTGTTGGTGAACCGGCTGAAATCTCACCCCTCCCCTCCCAGGCTAACCCACAGAAAGAAAGAGGGAGATTCCTTCATCTTTGGCATTGAGGGGCGGGAAAACTGAAGGAGCTGATTCGTCCAGACATTCCGAGCAAGAGAGACGTGTGTTTCAAGGAAGGAAATCACGTTTTTCTCCCATGAAGTAAAGCTGTGCCTTTCCTGAGAGCGCCAAGCAGAGGATTCCCCCATGGGGGGGATGTTGGGGGGAGGATCTAGGAGCTAGGAGGGATCCCTGCAAATCTTCTCTGCCTCTTCCTGGTTTAGGTGAGGGTTTTAGGAGGCTTCCCTTTGGATTGGGGTGGTATCTGTGTGTGACCCTCAAGGCTGCCCCTCACCTCTTCTCATCCAGCACAGTAACTCTTCCTATGGCAGAAATCTTCATCTATGAAATGAATAGGTGTGTGTGTGTGTGTGTCCCGGCCAGATACTTCCAGCCTCAAAAGAGGAATTGGCAGTTCTGAATTGGGCGGAGAAAGCATTTATCTCAGACTTTTGAGACAGGAGGGGCCAGAACAACCGGCAGCACCAATGGGAATTCTCCCTGCATCATCAGTCCCTGGGCAGAGTCCTTTGTGACTTCACCCAATGGAGGAGATAGTTCTGCGCAGAGACAACCTGAGAAATTGCGTTCAGTATAGGGAGGGAGGCTGCAGCTCAAGGAGGAGGTTCATGGCAGTTCCTGAAGGGACCCTCCACTTTCTGTGGTCTCTTCATGATTCTCAGCTACTGTGCTGAGAATCTGAGGGGTGGACTAGACATCCATTTAGGCTCCCAAACTGCCCCAGGGAGCGTTGAAGGTCCTTCTCTGAAAGGGGCCTCTGGGCTCCTTCCAGCTCACTTGGAAACAGGGGAAAATGCAGGAGGAGGCTAACTAAGGAGGAGAAGGGAGGGCGAATCACCCAGGATCAGCAGAGGGAAGGCCTAATGTAGAGGGTCTCCTGGGTGATGGGAAGGGAAGGTCAGCTTCATTGCCCAGACTGGGGGAAGTCCCATAGTAGGGGAGTGGCTTGGAGGCCAAATGGCTGCAGCTGGAACAGGCCATATCCAGGAAAGTCTTTCTCAAATATTCCTCAGGGGGAAATCTATTTTTCATAATCTGAGTATAGCAATAGCACTTAGCACTTAAGACTTATTTACCGCTTCACAGTGCTTTACAGCCCTCTCTAAGCAGAGTCAGCATATTGCCCCCAACAATTTGGGTCCTCATTTTACCCATCTCGGAAGGATGGAAGGCTGAATCAACCTTGAGCCTGGTGAGATTTGAACTGCCAAATTGCATGCCAGCTGGCAGTCAGCAGAAGTAGCCTGCAGTAGTGCACTCTAACTGCTCACCCACCGTGGAATATCCTAAGGACTATCTCTGGCTGGTCTGGGGTTCCAACCCCCTCCCCCCCACATTGTCAGCAGGGATCTTGATTGAAGCTGCCCCTCCCCCGGAGCTGCCTGATGTCCACTGTCTTCTCCCACCCATGGAATGGAACCCATGGCTCTCAGGGCTTTTTTTGAAAGGGAGGGGGAGTCGGCATTCCTTGTCCTCCCATCAGCTTGGAAAAGGATTGGAGAAAAGAGTTTTCTTTGCCATTCCCCCCCCCCCCGCCCCACTTTGAGAAATGGCCATTTGGGGATTACGCAGGAATAAGGGGCTGTTCCAGTTCATCTGTGGTGGGGGGTACTTTTATTTCCTTTTTTTCTTATGTCATAGTTCATAATCTTTTTAGTCATAATTTATATAATATATAAATAAAATCATAGTTTATATTTAAATAAATCCAATAAAATAAAGTATAGAATGATACACATATAAATCATAGGCTCCATTGGAATAGTCTGGTTAGGCCGAATCTACTTCTTGAGTTATGTATTACCTGACAGATAGTTGCCCAGCCTGCAATTTGACACATTCAGCAAAGATCAACCTTGTTCTAATAATTGGTTCTTGACCTTCTTCTATGAACTAAGCTCCTGATAGTCAGAAATTACTTTCATATTCCCTATTGTCTTTTCTCAAAACTAAACATACCCAGTTCCCTCAGTCTCTCATAAAACTAAGTTCCCAGTCCCAATTGTAAAACGTTCTGATGAAATAGGAAAAACCAGAAGGTTTATATATGGCAGATAGATAGTCAATGTCACGTGATAGTGTGCATATCACTTGTAAGAATGGTAAATAAACTAGATTCAGTGTCTGGAATGATAGAGGTATATAGACAAGCTACAAAATTTCATTTTAATGTATGCAAATTAGTGTACATGCAAAGTGACAATGAAATTATTCTAATCTGATATAATCTTGGAGGCCATCCCCATCCTCCAGCTCCACCACACATGTAGGACGAGTCTCTCGCAATGGCCAACCTGACCATAGGTGAGCCAGATTACTTCAGCTGTGAGGAGCCTCACCTAAAGTTTCCATCACCCAGGCCTCCCAAAGGTGATGGGAACTGCAGCCCACCTCAGCTAAAGAGTGTAGCTGAGTCACAAAGTTGAACACACCAGTAAAGCAGTGGTGCACCCCAAGCGAGGAAGCATTGTGAGCTTTGAGAGTGCAAGTGTCTGTATTTCCACTCAAGTGCAGAATTCATACCACGCCTTCTCAATGGCTTTCAAGAAGGCTAATTTTTTTAAATACAAATAATTTGTTTGAAAAACAAAGAGATGGATTACAATATTAATGATGAATGAAAATGAAAAGGCAATTTCCAAAGCCTTTCTCCCCCACTGAGTGAAACCTGAGCTGTCTCCCACAGTGGGACATCTCAGGATGTCCAGCTTTCTTTCCCGCTCTTCCGCAGAGGAAGAAAAAGCTGATAAAGTGCAAGAGCTGATAAATCACCAATTAAAATAAAATAAACACAAGAAAAAACAAAATTGTGGTAAGAGAATGAATTTTGTTAATTGTCATTGCCCATTTAGCAAGCTTCACTCTATGAGGGGATCCCCAAGTTAATTAAACCATGTTTTAAGGTTCTTCTGAAATGCCAATAGGGTTGGGGCCAGCTTCACCTCAGAGATAACAATATTCCAGGATGAGACCCATATCAGTAACACTTTCTTCTTAGGTCCTGCCTGATGAAGTTCCCTGGTCAACAGGATCTGCAATATGTCTCTTTTGTCTGATAAATATAACTGGTGAGAGGTGGTTCCTCAAATATCCTCTTTGCATGACACAGAGGACTTTAAAATTATAGCCAGCAGTCTGAATTGGACCTAGAAACAAAATGGCAACTAATGCAGCTCACTACCAGAGGTGTTATTCATGTAGATCTTGGAGCACTCATATTGCCTGAGTTAATTTTGTACCATTATAACTTGTTCAGTACAGATTCCTAAGATTAGCCCTTCAAACCCCAAAACATGGCTCTAATGCCACTAGACAAGAGACAGGCCTCATAAAAGTAAAGGCTAGAGTGTAGGTAACATACTCAACTACTGCTTCATACTATCCTTTTTGCCCCTTGGCCTTGCCTCACTATGAGGGATGATTTTCAGTCCACGTGGAAAAAGATAGTAAAAACTAAAATCTCATACTTGGGCTTCACTCCAGGTCTTCTATGCAGCATATCAGGCCAAAGCTTTCATTAAACAGCTAATAATGGACAAAGAGCACTGACAGAACCTAGCCAGGACTGCAAACTTTATTGACAATTAAGTATGCCTCTCTTATGGCATCATTAACCAATTTTGAAGTACCTGATCATTGAAGGGCCTTTACTTTGGCACAATGTCATACCCTCCATGCAATGTCCTTGAAGGTCAATACAAAAAGATCCCTTACCTAAAAAAATCAATGTCCCTGTGATTCCAGACATATAGAAACTATAAAACATGTACTATAGAACATATTACAGAATAGTCACACTAGCTTCATCTCACCATTATTGCATGATGGACCGAGATGGACAGGATAATTCTACACCTCCCTGCTGCTCCCAGATACTAAACCTGTCACAACATAAAATGTTGTCAGGTTCTGTGTAGTTGCATTTGAAATTTGTCAGAAAATTATCTGTGTCACAAACCAGTTTTAATGAGCACCTAGTTTATCACTATAGAGTGCTATGTATGATATGTATTTAGTTCGTCATGTTCCCCTATCTCTAGCCATTGCTCTTAACCCTCCTTTTAGGCCCCTTTTAAAGATTATTTTTAGATTTTTATTCTTACACTTTTTAGCTTTTATAGATATACTTTTATTTTATTGCATTTTTATGCTTTTGAATAATAAAGATTTTATTTGAACCCCTTATCAATTTGGCTGAGCTAAAAGAAAGGATTTTTGTCCCAAAGTCATCAAATAAGCTGCCAAGACTGAAATTGAAATTAATACAATTACTACTTAGCAGGTAATATACTGTAGTTAAAATGTATGAAACAAGATATTCTTACCAGTGAGATCTGATGGAACAAGGTACTTCCTCTTGTCCAGATCAGGTACTCTAGCTTTGGGTGCTTTTTCCACTATAACCTAGAGAAAGGAACAAAAAATAAATAAATTTATTTTGAAGGGACCATATCCTTATAAAACAGGTGAGGGACTTCTCATCACAATGTTGTAAACTATTCAAGTCTCTCCCATTATCACTATATTCCCCAATCTTTTTAAAGAGATAAATGACATACACATATGAAAAATATTACTTTAATATTTGAAAATAAAAAGTCAAGGGTCATGAACTGATACAAACCCTTTTAAACAAAAACAATCTAAAGGTATGTTCATTAATTTAGATAAAGTCCAAGTCTTAATACAGGTAGTCCTTGGCTTACAATGGTTCACTTAATGACCGTTCAAAGTTACAATGGCACTGAAAAAAATGACTTATGACCATTTTTCACATTTATGACCATTACAACATCCTCATGGTCACATTTGGATTCTTGACAATTGACTCACATTTATGATGGTTGCAGTGTCCTGGGGTCATGTGATCATCTTTTGCAACCTTCTGACAAGCAAAGTCAATGGGGAAACCAGATTCACTTAACAACTGAGTTACTAATTTAACAACTGCAGTGATTCACTTAACAAATGTGGCAAAAAAGTCATAAAATGGGTCAAAATTCACAACAAATTTTTTAGCAACATAAATTTTAGGCTTAGTTGAGGACTACCTGTATGTATATAATTTGATCTCACAAATTGATGTCCATTTTGAGAAAGCATTAGAGAAGAATTATATTTTATAGCTGACTAGTAAAACAATTTGTAAAATTTCTTCTTCCTTATTGGCTGAATCTAAAAGAGCTGCCCATCTCAGCAAACGACTCTGGGTGGCTCACAATTCAAAATATATATTACAAATAAAAACTTTAGAACATTTTAAAACAATAAAACATTGTATCACCACTCTTGGTGACCCAAGTGATGCTGTGGCTGCTCTCTCACGGTGCCTGGAGGGTGTAGAGGCCTGGACAGAGGATAACAGACTTCGACTTAACTCTAGCAAAGACTGGATGGATTTGGGTACATGGGGCTCGGAGTTCTGGAACTTTGTTATCTTTGATGAGATGGCACTGCCCCAGACAGATCCAGCCTCCAACTTGAGAGTTGTCTTGGACTCACGACTCCTGCTCAAGGAGCAGATGGCAGTTGTGGCTAGGAGATCCTTTCCACAACTTCATGTTGTGTGCCAGTTGCAGCCTTTCCTGGATCAGGATTCCCTGCATTTATTTTATTTATTCATTTGTTTGTTTGTTTGTTTGTTTATTTATTTAATTTGTCAAAAGCTTACAATATAACAGAAACAAGAATAAACATAAGTTTAAATACAAGAAATAGGAACTAATAATTGGGGACAATAGGACAGGGATGGTAGGCACTATTGTGCATTTATGCACGTCCCTTTAGCTATTTAGTCCCTAGTCATCTCATGGTTGGACTATTTTAATTGCTCCACATGGAGCTATCCTTGAACATTCAGAGGTTACAGCTGGTACAGCTGTGGCGGGGTGGGCAGTTTTGGAGTGTCAAAAATGGCCCATAGCATCGCTCTGTGAGCTGCATTAGTTGCTGGTTTGCTTTCAGATGCAATTTAAGGTGTTGGTGATCATAGATAGATAGATAGATAGATAGATAGATAGATAGATAGATAGATAGAATTCTTTATTGGCCAAATGTGATTGGACACACAAGGAGTTTGTCTTGGTGCTTATGCTCTCAGTGCACATAAAAGAAAAGATACATTCATCAAGAGTCAAGAATCATAAGGTACAACACTTAATAATAGGCATAGGGTACAATAAGCAATCAAATCATATTAGGAAACAGTCAATGTAAATCGTAAGGATACAAGCGACAAGTTACAGCCATACAGTCACAAGTAGGAGGAGATGGGTGATAAGGAGTGATGAGAAGATTAATAGTAATAGTAATGCAGACTTTATAAATAGTTGGACAGTGTTTAGGGAATTATTTGTTTAGCAGAGTGATGGCGTTCAGGAAAAAACTGTCCTTATGTCTAGTTGTTCTGGTGTGCAGCGCTCTATAGCGTCGTTTTGAGGGTAGTTTTGAAGAGAAGTCGTTTTGACTTCAAAAAAGAAGTCCTTCCAAAGAAATCCTTCCAAAATAGAAGTTCCAACTTCTTTTTTAGAAGGTCTGACTGAACCTTTTTTAAACCGGTAGTCACACGGTCTTCTTTTGTTGCCCTGCAGCAGGAGAACAGGAGCTGGAAAGCAGGTTAGTGAGAGAATGGTGGGTGTTCTGGAATGCCTCCATGCAGGGCAACAAAAGACAACCATGTGACTACCAGTTTAAAAAAGGTTCAGTCAGACTTCCAACTTCTGAGGGGGAAAAAGATCTCCCGAAGTTGTAAGGTCTGTCTGAAATGACTGATTAGTCTCCCAGCTGATCGAGGCTGCTGTTCCATTGCCATCTAGCGGCTCCCAGTCACGCAGCCTAGTAGGCCTCCCTGCAACCCTCTGGGAGCAAGAATGAGATGAGGAGTGACTGGGCTGGGAGGGGCCAGCCAGAATTTGTACTACCGGTTTGCCCGAACCAGCCCATCCTGGCTGAATCCCACCACTGAATAGCTCTCTCACGCAGCTACTGATTAGAAGGAGGTGCTATGCAATTGGTTTTGTCTTTACTCATCAATTCCACCAAATTATGGCTACCAAATTTATATTGCAAAGATTCTGGTTGCCACTAGATGGCAGCCCTTTGATGGAAGTCTCTGCTGCTATCTGGTGGCTTGAAGGATCTCTTTATTTAATAAAGTAGAACAAAAAAACAGCAGTAAGAGAAAACAGAAAGTAATCCAACAACATTGGCTATATTAAATATATTTTATGGGAGAACCTAGCGCATAATTTATTTTGTTGTTATATGTAGATAAGCTCTGATATTAGTGTGATTTTTCTTTATAATCTAAATAGCCCTTAAGCATCCTATCACTTATATGAATGCAGTTCTATCAGTTTTATTCCTAATAATAGTAACATTTTTCAAATCTTTGGCATTCACGGGGATTAACAGGGAAAGATGATGTAAGAAAATACTGTAGTTTCTCCAACATTTCTTAACCTTAATATACCGTATATATTATGTACTAAAAATATACATGAAATACAAATTATATGCCCAATCAGACTTATAAAGCTTATATATTTTTCTGAAGATGAAATATTCAAAGGCACCAGGCTCTTTACCTTCTAGCTACAGAAAGTGTTAAACATTACACATAAAGCAATAAATTCATAGATGACCTCCATCTATCTATTCACCCTATCACAGAATGATCTGGTAGAATAAATTTAATAGCTGCAAAATCCCCATTGCTCTCCTTTTCAAGCATCAGTCTGTTCCCATGACAATTTTGTACCTGTAATCCTTAACTTACTACCACAATGGAGCCCAAAATTTCTGTGGCAAAGCAAGGCAGTTAAGTGAATTTCTCCCATTTTATGACCTTTTTTGCCATAGCTGTTAAGCAAATCACTGCAGTTGTTAAGTGAATCATGCAGACATTAAGCAAATCTGGATTCCCCATTGTCTTTACTTATTGGCAAGAAAGGTCACAAATGGTAATTGCATGACCCTACAACAGTTCAGTTAATCCTCGGCTTACAACAGTTCATTTAGTGACTGTTCAAAGTTACAACAGCACTGAAAAAAGTAATTTATGACCCTTTTTCACACTTACGACCATTGCAGCATTGTCATAGTCACATGATCAAAATTCAGGTGTTTGGCAACTGACTCATATTTATGACAGTTGCAGTGTCTTAGGCTCATGTTCAGTATTTTTATGATTTAATAGGAGAAAAATGCCTGAAAAAAACCACAAGATTGGAAAACCCAGCTGTCTCTCTACAATAAAGATAAGATGTCATTTACATTTCTATTAATTATGTCACAGATTTTTTTTAAAGGTACTGGCCAACACAGTATCAAGAGGAATCTCAACCTGCTGAAAAAATACTGGTAATCACAATACGAACAGTTTTTGATAGTTTGGATGAGATTTATATTAGTTATTTTAGTTCACCATTCATCAACCAAAATAATAAATTTTATAAAAGAATATTGCAACAGTAAATGAGGAACTATCATTAGAAAATCATGTGATATTATCAAGCAAAAACATGTATTATCATTACATTCCAACTGAAAGCTTCCTAGTTAATCAGGTGATATTGGTTGGGTTTAACTCCTGGTGACTGTATGGTCAAATACTCTCTATCTTGACCTGTCTTATAAACAAGTACCTTGAATCATGCTGCATTATGGGTGGAGAATGCAGGCTTATGAACAGCTTTACTTGGAAGTTAGCCCCATTGATATCACTGCAATTTACTGTCCAGTAGTACTGCAAGCCATATTCTACTTCTTTGAAACAAAAGGACCAAAAATATCCCAGGATTAAAGAAAAAAAGGGGGCTATGATTCATCTCAGCAAATGGATCTTTCCAGAAGCATAATTAGAGGCTTAAAATTGACAGTTATTTTACTAAAACTATAGTGATCCTTCTCCCTTAATCTTTTCTAGGGAAGATACTGGAATGAGGCAAATAAATTCTTAAGCAGCATATAGCATATAGGACAAATCATAAAAAAAATCAGGAAGAGACATGAAAAAAGGTATTAGGGTGTGTGTGTGTATATACACACGCATATATATACACACACATATATAAACATGCATATATCCATACATATACGTATACATATACATATATATCTGTACATATGTATATGTATGTGTATATATATATGTATATGTGTGTGTGTGTGTGTATATATATATATATGTGTGTGTGTGTGTGTGTGTGTATGTCTATGTCTATGTCTATGTATATATGTATATATATGTATATATATGTATACGTATATATGCAAGTCTAGGTGTGTTCGGGTCTTTTCCCATGTAAGATTAAGAGTATCTTGGCGACATTTCGGCGAGGTCCCACTCGCCATCCTCAGGCTGATGCTTTCAGCTTCGTGCCAGTGCAAGCAGAGATAGATAGATAGATAGATAGATAGATAGATAGATAGATAGATACACCTCTTGATCCTTTCAACTTGTTAATATTGTGATTCTGTAGCTGAAGTAGAGACTGGCAAATAGTCTCTACCTCAGCTTCAGTATCAAAGATTGAAAGGATCAAGAGGTGAGCCTATCGTCTGAAAAAAAATCAGGCAACAAAATTCAACTCCCCGACAAATAAGGCAGGTTATATTAGCTCAAAAGTCCATGGGTCCTATAGATAAAAGCACGATTTTACGCCTCCCTACTCACAGGAACTCGGTCTGGGTATTTCTTTCGGATTTTCTCTCCTTCTTTTTTTCTGTATTCAAAAGGATGGTCTTCCTTATACTGGAACTTCATGGCTTGAACAGATACGGACACTTCGACTATCCCTGTCTCCTTAATCGACCGTTCCAGCGCTCTTAACAATCGCGATGAGAAAACGCAGCTGCCGGGAACTGCAATTTTCGGGACGATTCGCTTGTTTCTAGATCAGCTGATCAAAGGATACACAATAAACATGCACAGTACAAGACATGTATTGTGACGTCACTCTAGATATAATCAGCATTTGCCTCCGCCTGCTTCGTAGACTGCACCACTTCAACTTGTGGGGAAAGACAAAAAGTGACATATTTGAGGTCGTTATTCAGAAAGCTAGTTTCCAGACGATTAATGGAAAAATGCCGTTAGCGACGAAATCTTTGCAGATGGAAAGGCAAGATTGAGATTACTCTGTTTTTTAAACTTTACAAATCGTTCTGCATTTCAAAGGAATAATAGAAGAAAGTTAAGAAAATGTTGACTCCAATAAATATGCAATTCCACATAGGACTGAATCGGGAAGTTATTTATTTACTCGTTCTATACAATGACTTTAGACTATGTCCTAAACATACTATTAAAATATAAACTATAATATAAATACATAAAATATAAATAAATCAATGAATATAATCAAATTAATATTTAAAGCCACGTGATATCGTGCATGCTACATTTTTCAGAATTCAGAGCAGTATGAGTTACTCAAGTTTATAGAATTTGCTTTAAAGCTTGGCAATCTCGAGAATAGAACTGAGACGCCATTCCTGACAAACTCCACTCTGATCACCTGGACTGCCTGGTCTAATGTGCACGTGATCCCCTACCAATAGTCAGTACTATTATCCTCGGTAATTGGTTGCTAGAAGTAAAGCGGAATTAATGTAGACAAGTTTTTGTATGCTGCTCTCTATAGTGGTAAGAGTCCCTTTTCCAGATAAAACACTGTACATAAGAACTCCCACCCCTCCCTCATAAATACCTAGAATTTGGCTGATGTTTTACAAACTTATTAGAGAATAATTTGAATTACTTTCAGTAGAATTTATTCACAGTTGCAACTGTTGGGAGGAAAATGCTCCCCAATTAGGATTCTTCCCGCAGTGATGCAACATTCAGAGCTTTGAAGAAATCTATATATGTAAAGGAAAATACCACTCACGCATCATCACAAAATCTCCAGAACCATAAAGCCTACAAACTTGAAATTTGGCATGTATGTTCCTCTTGACTTCTAGATGCTCACTAAGAAAGGATTTTTCGAAATGACTATCAGAGCATTAGTATTTCGTATATTATATTAACATAATCTGATGCTAAGGAGTTCTACTCCCCCACCCCACCTGAAAAGAAGTCTGTTCCAAATGCAAAACACAACCAGAGGAGAGGAGTTTCAGTTTTAGTTTCACAGCAGCAACCAGTATGGAACAGTTGAGCTAAGCCACACCCAGGCTCCTTGCTGTCTCCTTTGTGCTCACACAGCAAATACTGTTTCAGTTTCCAAACAGCCCTCAACTCTCCCACACTGACAGGGTGCTAGCCAGATGAATACCGATGGATGCTGGTAGGCAGAGGCACAATTTTCTTTCTTTATTTTCCTCCCCAAAAACTAAGCCTGATCACAAAGTTTTGTAGCAAAGCATGGGTATAGTGCTAGTAATTGAATAATGAAGCATAGCTGCCAGAAAGAATCTTTTAATGACAAGGAACCAAGATGAGTGACATTTAGCAAGGCTTCTTTGGCTAGCTAGAAAGATGGATATTCAAATGTGATTGTTATATACCCTTTCTGAGTTTTGGTCTAAACTGTTTTTTTGGTGATGCTTAATTCTGTGCTTGGTGATGTTTAATCCTATGTTTATTGATGGGATAATTTTCCCTTGTAGAAAGTTAGCACCCACCCCTCTCCTACAAGAATTAAATATTCTAGGAAATATTAAAAAGGCAGAATATTATACCTCCCTGGATGAGAAAAGGAGAAGCATGCTCTTGGAAAGCAGCCCCCATTTTATTTATGGCCAAAACAAAATACTGGGTGAACTATATCCTGGACATACAGAGACAATGCATGTAAGGAATAACCACATCTTGGGGAAGGTATGGCTTGCTTTTATAGGCATTAGCTTAGTTCCCGGTTCTGGCCTCCTAACTTCCTCCAGAAGGTAGATGCCTTCAGTGTTATTTCATCCTTCCTTTGTTCTCCCAATTAGTCAATTAGCCACTTGGCCCCCTGTTGATACATGGAACTAACAACACAGATCAAAGGTATAAGTTAGAGCTGATGTGTGAACTGTATTCAGCTCTTGCCTGGGATACATATCAGTTACAAGAAAAACAAGGGTAAGATTAGCAGGGGCATGTGTTTTACAATACTTTTACAGAAGCATAATATAGTATGTTTGTTACAGGGAACAAATGTTTACAGAATAACAAGTAAATGCTTGAATAACAGGTCTCCACCAATGTTATCATGTTATATCCTTATTACTATTTCCCCTTATTCCTCCCTTTTTTCTTTTTAAAAAGAAACAATAGAATGCTTTCTATCATGGTGAGTGAGGAGTGCATTTAATTTTTTTCTGAAGCAAAGGTAAAGGCATTGATAAGAGCAGTAGAAAAGGATCCCTTCAGTGGCTCCCTAAAGGAGAGCTCTCAACCATGCCAGGGCAAAAGTTCTGGAAAGAAATTTACAGTATCTAATTTTCCATGCAAATTCAGATGTTTGATATCATTTTCTGTGAGCTTCCAGACAGGTTTTAAGCAAGCACAAGCCCCAAAATTATTTACAGTCATGGTTTTCCTTTAAATTCCTACAGGCTGCCTATTTCCAGGGTTTGTCTAGAACCTGTCCTAGCTCTGCCTATTCCCAGAGTTTGTGAGGCCAAATTGAGGTTAGTCATTTTGCAATCTAGGCTATCTAGTATTTTTAAAGTTACACACAATGAGCCCTGGGAGTCCTGCTCATGAGACCACCAGTGCAACATATCCTGCTTTACTGGGCAGCATCATTTGTGAGTCACAGTCAGGGCTTGGGGTTTGGAGATCTCTCCTCTGCTATCTCTTCAAATGAGGGAATTGTCTGAAGGGGGATGTCTCTTCCCCCATGGAATTAGCAGGGAGATATGACTGCTTGGGCAAAGTGCCACAGAGCAGGAAAAAAAAACCCACAAAAAAGGAAGCTAGGAGCAGCTTTGTGTGGAGGTGTCTAATTCTGAATGATGTGTCTCTGTGTGTGTGCATGTGTATGCAACTACTTTTACAATATAGGCAATACAACATGCTGGACAAATTTCCCTCCCACCAGACAGAAATCCAAGGTGTTCAGAACTTGTTGTGGCAATCACTCTCAAATACAATCCTTACATGAGTGCATTAAACTGGTTACAATATAAATAAGACAATAAAGAAAATGAAGGGTAATAAATAAAGAAATGTAGTAAAATATATTATAGCATTAAGTAGAATGTTACTCTATAGGCATTTGTTATCTTGATGTTAGGCATCTGTTTTCTTGTATATGTAGAAGTGTCTCTGTTAAGCATTTGTCACTCTATAGGCATTTCTTATCTTGCTGTTGTAGAGAAGATTTCTTTAACCTTTCACTTGTTGTAAAACAATTATAACACATGCCTGCAATCAGTTACATACCTCTCCTATGCAGACACGATTGTCCCATCTAAATCAGTCTGAATCCATGTGTTTTCCTGGATGGATACATTTCACCCCAGCATGGGAATGCTGTTAATAGCCTCCTTAATTGGTCAATTGTGATCAATTAGCAGGACAATAGGAGAAGGGATAATGAAAGGTAAACAGTACCAGAAAGACATTTGTCTTTTGCAGGGAAGATGTAAATCTAAGTTAGAAAGTGTTACAATGCAGTTACACTACTTGTAAGGATCTTAAAGGTATAAGAAGACTCTACTTGCTGTATATGCTTTGTAACCTTCCTCACATATCTGTCTTGTGTGTATGTGAGGATAGATCTTACTCTTACCCTAACCTTATTGATCAATTAAAGTTAGATTTTGTTCTTCAAAGCCTCTGCTTAAGTTCATTTTTGGCACATCGTGATCTTAAGTTATAGCTGGACTTTACAAAAACATTACACTGAATTTCCACCCTCCCCCCATAATCTTTCCAGCTGTTTTCTGGGGATTGAAAAAGAGTTTTTTACTGATCCATCTCAGTATCCTCTCCTTCATGTCTGCTGGGTAGCATTGGGAAGTGTTGGGAAGGCTTGCAGGCAGAGTTTGAAAAGAAACAATACATCTGTGTTGTGATTCCGGCATCTGCTACAGGTTTTTTGAATGACAGCTCC